TAAAGGACCAGTGTGTAGGATTTAGTGGCATCTAGAGGTGTAGTTGCGGATTGCATAGCCCTCGCTTTATCGGCCCCTCCCAAGTACGAAGGAGAAACTACGGTGGCTGAGAAACACACAGAACATAGAAACATGCCGGTTCAACATGGTGGACTTAGAACGTAGAGGGTAACAAAAACATAAGGATTCTTATTTTCAGGTGATTATACAGTAATGAAAACATACCTATGAATATTATATTACATTTCTTTCAGTGCAACAAAAAGTCATTTAATATTAGTTCTTTCACTTTTCCATTCAATGTTGACTTACCATTTTACACATTGAAAGTATTCTAACTTTTCTGTTATTGATAGGCTTTTAACTTGAAAAACTACAGAAATTGAGTTTCATTGACGGCAGGTTAAAATTGACTGGGGAAAAACTGAAAAGTGGAAAAACTGTAATCAACAGGTGGATAAAAGAAGTATTTTGCTATAAATAGAGCAGCACGGTGGTGAACTGGACGACTGTTGTAATGATGGATGTAGTTCTGTGGAAAAGTACATAACGCATCATTTTCCATGTGAGTCATTACTTTGAATCGCTTGACCTCTTTTTTACCCAGTCTTTATGTGTTCATACACCACACCCCCTGCTATTATTCTACTCTATTATTATTATTATTATTATTATTATTATTATCATATGAGAATTTACAGCAGTTTGAATCAAATGATGGAGAGAGTTTCAGCATTTTTCTCCGGATGATTAGTCACATTTCCCTTTAGGAACGGTGTATACATTTATCTTTTTCACTGTAGTATTTGAATCTTACTGATTCAGGAAATGTTTGCTTTTCAATCCCAGACATTTGTATCGATCAATAACCCAAATTCAACCCCCCCACACACACAGTGTACTACAGATAATTTATTCTACCGGGTAATAAAAACCTCATTTATTGCATCTTTAAGTTCTCTAAAAAACCTGCGAGGGAATTTATCGCCACTCCGTGATGTTTTTCGTCTAGTTTCCCTTCACTAATGTAAACTCGCCCACTGAGGATATAAAAAGTTTACAAGTGACTTTGTGAAATGGGCCACGTCCCCGATACTGACTGGACGCACACTGTCAGCTCCTCCATTAAAAGTGATGTAAAGTCTCACTCTGCCTCGGTCCCACTTCGGCCTCAAAGAGCCAGACTCCCGCAGTCACTGGCCCACGAGTCTTAACTCACACTAACAGCACACATCAGTCTTTATCAGGCAGCGGGGACACGCCGACGCGATGAGATGTTTATGGATATTGAGGGTTAAAGGTCAAATAAAAGCTTCACAGAGATTTGTATTTGGTTATCGCACAAGTGCAGTTGCAAGTTAGAAAGCCTGCGGGAGCCAATCAGAACACACATACAGACAGACACTGAAATTGATTGGTGGATTGATCATTAAAGCTGAAACAATTAGTTGATCAATCAATTAGTCAATTATCAGAAAAATCTTTGAATAATGAATCGTTTCAGTCATTTTTAAGGCAAATACAAACAATAAAGTGAATATTTTTAAGAAAATGTTTCATTAACACAACAATTAATTGAGAAAATAATCAACAGATGAAAATATGTTGGGAGTAATTCCATTACTGTTGGCGGTAACTATTAATGTAACTAATTACATTTTTCAATTTAAATAACACAAAATTACTGAAATTTAGGCTGGTTACTTATTACTATTATTACTATTTACCTTTATTTTATTGTTTTGTCAGTTTCTTTTTAAAACATAAATACCTTCACTCAAACAAACTGTATATAATGTATATACCGTCACATCCACCTGCCTCAAATACCTGCAAATAAATATTTATTCCAGCATCCTTTGCACTCTGCACCATTGCACTGTTGTCTGCAGATGTTGTTATTTTTGTTTATGTTAATGTATAACTGTAGATAGCAGTTTCTGTCTATTTTGTTGAGCTTTGAACAAGAGCACCATAAACCGGAGTCGAACGGCGTTGACTTTTTCTCACCTAAAATCTGTTCACAAACATATTTTACTGTTTATCTGGAATACCAGATCGTGTGTGACCAGGCGAGCCGCCATTGTTTCCTGCTACGGATGACCTCTGCTGTCTCCGACAAACTGTCATGCGACGACCATAACGCCAAACTCGAGGCTTCAGAACAGTACTCCACACGCCACCATAGGTCCACACTACTGAACAAGAGAGTGTGCACGAACCTATCCTCGTTTCAGGAATGCTCACATTGTTCTCTAACTGCAGAGACAAGAAGAAAGTAAATCTTGATCCGAACACTTTGAGCCTCAGGGAGCCTGAAACAGCCGTCCTGCTGCCAGCGCCGTTTTACAGATGGAGAGGTCAGATGAAGGGAGGGCTGGCATCAAACCCAGAATGAACTGAATGGAAAACAGACCTGCATTTCAAACGGAGGTATAACCCGTAAGAAATCAGGGCGGTAAAAGAAGCTACGCCTTACATCCGTGGAGAATGAGAAGCACATTTCAGAGATGCATTTGGGAAGTTGTACGGCGATCAAACAGAAACAGACAGAAAGACGGTGTCTGCTCTGACTACAGGAAACATGTTGTACAGTGCGATACACGCTGCTGCCGAGAGGTTAGAGAAAGCATCCTGTGACTGACAGGTGTCAGGTTCAACCCCAGAACAGCCAAAAACCATTGAGAGGCAGTAGGTTTGCTCCGGAGCTGTCGGGAGCCCCACTAGGGGTCACCAAAGCTATATTGCTGATTTTAAGGGGTGTAGGAAAACTTCTCTTCTGTGAATAAATGTAAATTGTCTAATTGAACAATGTCCAAGTGTCAGGGACAAGACAACACTGAATTTATCAAGAAGGAAGCCTATTAAGTCTCCCAGTTAAAGGTTTTTACTCATACAATCGAGGGTCTAAGGACAGAGGGTGAGGCAAACTGTGACTTTGGGATGTATAAATAAATGTTGACTTAACTATAATGGACAGTGATGAGATCTTGTTTTCTGGGCCAGCATACCTCCGTTCCTCCGCTGCTCAGTTTACTCGAGGCACTGAAACAAACAGAAAGCGCGGCGGCTTTGAACTCCACTTCTCTCTGGCCAGTAGCCATCAGATAAGACTTTTTATCTGGAGCTTTTGTTGATTCTAGTCCTGGAGTGATGTGCCAGCTGACTCGATTCAGCTTTTAAAAGCACGAGCAGAAAGGCCGCTGCACGCTCTGCGATCTCTATCTGCATCTCTTTCTGTCAGCTCTCCTTTACTGACCGCCTCTCAGTCAGCGGACTCCTCACCTTGTGTCACTCGTAGTGGATCGAGCCGGTGTTAATACCCCTCTCCACTGGAGGACCCTGACTGAGAGGCAGTCAAGTAGCTTAAATGGGTTCCACTCAGCTCTCAGTGGGTACACAGACACAGCACAGCAGCTTTAATGGGCTCTAGTTTGTTTCAAAGACAAGATAAAACAGCTTTTATTGTTATGTTTCTGGTACATTTTGAATCCATACACCAGTCCGGGGTTGGTAGAGCTCTTCAGATCCTTAACTTTAACACACTACAAGGAGTTTTTAACTGAATAGGGATGGGAATCCAGAACCTTTGTCTACAGGAGGCGCCAGAATCAAAACAGAATCCTTGCAGGGGTTTGAATTAAAGGAGCAACAATGTAAAAATAGTCAAATGTATGTAGTTTGTCTCTTTTCTTTATTTTATATTATATTTTATAATGTTGAGCTGTTTAACGTACAAAAACCTCAATCTGATAAAGATATTTTAAGATAAGTGCAGTTTGTTTTTAATTGAAATGAACTTGTTTAAGAGGAAATGAGTGTCTGTACCATGAAGTGATTATTGTGATAACTGATTATTTATTTGAGCGAGATCTTCAGGAGGATTCGCTGCTTTTAGATCTACAAACTGAACCTCTTTGGGACTGACGGGTCTTGGACTCAATAATGAAAGTAATCATTAAAGAACTATATTATTTACTATATATTAATTCATTGAAGCAAAGTGCAGCGACACTGAAAACAGGTTGAAGTAAACATATGAACCCCCCAGGTGTGTGTGTGTGTGTGTTTTGTGTGTGTGTGTGTGTGTGTGTCAGCGTCAGTCCATTATCATCACTGCAGCAGGACTACCGTCTGAGAGGGGACACAATGCAGCCAGGAAAACAACAATCTCACACACACACACACACACACACACACACACACACACACACACACACAACAGGAAACAGCAGTCCCACTCACAGATTGTACAGCAGAGAGGAGGGGGCGGCGTGGGGGTTGAACTCCATAACAGGAAAGGCAGGGGACAATTGGGGGAGGTTTACTCACAGCAGAACTGTCTTTAGCTGACAGTTTCATTACACCGGCTCACAGAACCAGAACCAGCAGCTCTGGTACCAACAGCCCCGATGTGGAGGGAATATATACAGTCCATACACACAGTCCCCCCCCCCAACAACTGACAACCAGATCTTCTTCAGTGACCACCTAAAGTCCTGGAAACATCTGAGGACCATAAAAACCTCTACGAGAACCTCTGAAACATCCCAGAATGAGCACAGCGGCTTCAACAGGAACTCCTCGAACCCTTTCACTGACCACCAAAACTCCTCCAACGACCCCGCAACCTCCCCAACAACTGCAAGGACCCCTGGAAACTCCTCAAGGACCCCTGGAAACTCCTCAAGGACCAACCACAACTCCCCAGTGACACCAGCAGAGTTTTTATTAATTCAACTTTTTTAAGTTAAAGAAACACGAAGCAGCCTCATTGTGATCCAGATAAAGCTGTGACAGTATCTTCATACAGGCTGAAATACTTCAATATGAGCAGGTTTAAACAATTAAAGTCAAATTAAACTTTATTTTTATTATATTATATTTATATTTGTTATAACTTGTTTCCTGCTTTCTGACCATCAGCCTGTATAAGAGTCAGTCAGTCCACATCCCTCCAGCAGCATCAGGAGACATCCACACTGCAGAATAAAACTCACCGATCTGGGTCTCTGTGGGTCTCAGTAAATCCGCTTCAGCTGAACTTCAGGACGGATCCTGGGTCCTGGTTCCTGGTTCTGGGTCCTGGTTCCTGGTTCCTGGTTCCTGGTTCTGGTTCTGGGTCTGGATCTGGGTCTGGATCTGGGTCTGGATCTGGACAGTTGAGTGTCCGGTCACCTGAAGGCTCCACACGTTATAAACAAACTGAACACATGTGGGCTGAACTGAACCACTCCTTCACCCTCAAACACCCCGTCCCCCCGCCCGGCTGCCCGCTGCCGCATTCAGGCGCTGCTCGGAAAGTCCGACTCTCCAGATCACGATCCTGAATATTCACACTCATATCTACTGTACATACAATTTAACTTTATCTCACACACATCAGAATCAGAAATACTTTATTGATTCCCGGGGGAAATTTGTTTCCTTACAGTTACACAAGGGGCTCACAAGACATTAAAGAAATATAAATAATAAAAAGAGCGTTAAAATAGGAATTATATTACAATATCTAACAACATATAAAGAAAATAGAAAAATATGAAACAAATGAAAAAGAAAGAAAGAGTCTGAAGTATGTACATTATAATAAAATACATAGAAGATAGAAATATATGTTTGCTAAACAGAATATTCAAAAAGCTACAATAAAAGAGGCTAAAATAATATTTAAGAAATACATTTTAATAAAATATTTATTTAATAAAACCAGTTTAATATAAATAATATTGTCAATATTAAGCTTTATCAGAAAGAGAGAAAGATGAAAAATGTCTGTAAATGTGGGAAATGTCAGTTTGAATTTACATTAGCATCAAACATTCAGATCCTTTACTTTAACAAAACTAACATAGAGTTATCTTCATCAGTACAATTTACTTTAATTAAAACCTGCTGATACAGGGAGAATATTTAATGTAGCAGCGTTAAACTACTTTATTACTACATTCACTGCATGTGTACTACTCAGATTGTTTACTGTATAATAAAGCATCCTATTATAAGTTGATCAGTTTATTATATTTAGGTTGGTCACTGGCTGTTAATGCAATAAGCAGTCAGTGTAAAGTTTTGGCTCTTGAGCGAGTTTGAATTTAAATTGCTTTATTTCCCACAGAGCATGATGTCAGTGAACATACCTTCAGAAGCCATTATTGTATAAACCAGAGCGCCACCTGGTGGGATTACTAACCCCTCCAAATGCACTTCCAATCCTTTGGCAGTGTGACTGTGTGATAAACTCTCTCAGTCTGATTTCAATCGCTTAAACAGGCCTATATATAACTGTTACATATATACAGTATATTCAGTATATATAGTATATTTCAACAAGTAGTCATATAAGTTATTAACAATCTAAAAACACTCAAATAACAGTAAAAGTCCTGTAGAAGCTGAAGTTATATTGTTAGATTGTTATGTTCCTAACCTCGAGAGAAAAGAAGAAAAATCAAAGTTCTGATACATAAATCTGTTTTTCATTTTTCAGACATTTCTCTAATCCAGCAGGGATCTCAAACTGTCGGTCTGGGGGCCATTTCAGGCCCTCCATCCCCCTCCCTCCCTCCCACCCTCCAGCCTGCAACATGATGTCTAAACTATAATATAATCCGACCCGCAACATTATTATTAAGTTTTACATAAGTTCTTTTTACGACTGGAAATACCGCGTCGTATTTTATCTATAAACAAATTTAACAACTAAAAACAACAAAACAAACACAACAGTCTTTTTGAGTTATGTCAACTTCTAATGAAATTATGTTCAACAAATGTACTTCATTACGAGAATTAGTTCTTCCTGTGCAATCAAAGGTGTTTTTAATTACCACTTATAAGTAGCACAAACACACATTTATTACGCTACTTTTAAACATTTATTTGTTCCAACTAGTTATTCCACGTTATTTATGTCAATGTTTGTCATTATTATAAGGAAGTTAAAGTTTGTTCACTCTTATTTAGTCCTTTAGTCATGTTGCATCTTCCTGTTTCTGATTAACGTCACCGGACTTCCATCAGGAGTCGTATTAAAACAAAATGATTCCACGCTGTTTTTCAAACAAATGTTTGTAGACAGAACTCAGAAGGACGATGATAAGAAAGAACTTTATTATGAACTTCATTTTAACATCTTTATTGAGTACATGCACAGGTTTTATTGTGTTATATGAAAGAATACATATTTTCCTTCTGCTTTAAAAATGAAGAAAAACACAGAAAGCAAAGAAATGTACATTGTTGTGAGCACATTCCTGTGTCTCCCACATATTCTGTCTTTTACATATAAAATCCTTAAACAGTCACTGAAATATCGTCAGACATATAAAAAAGTTCAGACTTGGATGGATTGTTTTATGCATTGAAACCTGAGCTGAAAGGAATAAAAACATTTGACTCAAACATACCAAAAGTTTAATATATCTGAAAAATGAATCCAGTATAAAATGCTGCTGAACACACTGGTTCTCAAGAAATATACTGGCAGTAAACTCTGATAGTGGTCTTTTTGGTATTTGCTGTTATATTCATACATGACCTTAACCATACACATAAACATAACCTCTCTGTATAAAGACACAGAGTCACATGGTGTCTCTCTCCCTCTGCCTGTGTTGTATCGCAGCCTCTCTGTGGTTTGTTTTTTATCATCTACGTCGGTGAATTAAGGATTTATTTCCACCAAACCAGAGTTGGTGATTGTTGGAAACACTAACAGAGACGCTTTTAATGAGTTTTATTCTGTTTCTGTTTCTGAGTCTGATGGAGAGTGATAGTGATATTACGGCTGTTTGTGGTTAAACTAAAGGTCTATCTCTGTAGGGATCCTTTCCATAATGCTGTCAGACACTGACAATAACAGCCTGAGTCTGTCAGTGGACATACTTTGACGGCGTATTTGTCCCCAAGGCAGTGGAGTGTAAACCTTTAACTAAGCTGATCAATTATTCAAAGCCTGTGGTCCGCTAGCTTCTATAAAGTAATACAGTCTGTTATTCAGCTTTTCTTTCATCTTTCTTTCTGGAAAAACAAAGCAAGTTTCTTAACTTTGCTTTTCATATTCTGATACCAATCAGAACTAATGCAGCAGCTGCTGTAAGAAATGAATTCACTGAGTAATATTAATGAAATATAGACGAATCATGGTTTGAACTGTAGAAGTCGACATACATACATAATAAAATATCAAAGCCTGACCTTTCTTACTTTAAGATATGTATGTATTTGTGAATATGTTTGTATACATGCAATATGATTAGTAACATCTGTACTAATTAATGTTAGTGCATATACTGTGTTTTCTTTTTTTGTGTTTGTGTTTGGGTAAAAGATTATTAAAAAAGGCAAAAAGTGTTGTCACGATGTTTAAATAACATGAAATGTATGGAAGATATGTCTGGACACAATAAAGTATAAAAACTGAAACTGAAACCTTTGTGACTTTAACAAAATTACTTTGTGAGCGAATAAAAAACTACAAATGCAGCAGCACAGAAACTTCCAATGTCCTAACATGGATATTATTATTATTATTGCTAGTTGTTATTGTTATTATTATTGTTATTATGCATCTCTCTCTATCTCGCTCACTCTTTAAACCCAACCCATCTGCTCAAGGTTTCTGCCTCTTAAAAGGATGTTTTTCCTTGCCACTGTCGCCAAGTGCTTGCTCATGGTGGGCATTGTCAGGGTCTTGAATTGAATAACATTATATCCACATCCATAAAACTCACAGATGTCTCTTCTAAAGTCTTTTATTAACTTTTAAACTGGGATTTTGACTGAGGTTTTCTTCACTTTGGCTCTCTGTTGTGTTTTGAGCTTCCTCGACTCTGACCTGAACTCCACTCGCTGCTGATCTCCACTACCACAAAATACCGTCTGATCCTGGAGCTTTCAGCCAAATCCAAATCCTAATAAATCCATATTATTTATTCTCATGGTTAGGTAATAATGATCAAACAGAGAGCAGGGGGGTAAGGTCTGAGTCCCATTCAAACCCAACATAGCCTACCTGCTTTACACAATCCATCAATCATGTATGTTGGTAGTGTTGATGCTATTACCTTATCCAAGAAAACTGTTTCAAACTACACTGGAAGGAACAGAAAGGAGAGATCAGAGATGCAATGACAAATGTTTCAATAACAATAATAAGGAGGATTTACAACTGACTGATCTACATACTAATATTAAGGCTTCGACTGGTTGTACGTTGTAGAAATTATAAAAAAATGTCTGTTTATAAAAGCAGGAGAAAGTGAGGTTAACACTGAGCAATTGTTCAGTCCATGAGAAGTCAAAGTACAAATAGAGTACTGTATGGCTGCTTCTGCACATAGAAACGATAATGAAGACGTCTATAAATCAAAGATTATCTGTTATCATTTGGCAACAAATATCTGATCTACTGAATGAGATGTAAAGGCATTTTTATAAAAGCAAGCACAGACTGCTGATCCCATGACACACATTTTCAGTCTGACCTGACAATATAGAGGTAGTGGTTGCCTGATATCAACGCGTTTCTCATCATCAGAAAGTCAGCGGAGTGACCCGAAGGCGAAGGTAGTTGTACATGTTAATACACACAAAATGCAGTGGTTCTACTATATCAGGCTGGATTACATGGAGCCTGACAGACACTACAGGGATCAGAAAAAAGATATATACTGTAATAAAGCTAATATTCTAGAAATTCAATCAATAATCGTCTAAGGCACCTAAAACAGCTGGCAGCCTGCCAGACACACCAGATTATCAATATATTGACACCAGTGACACCTGCAGGCTCGTATGATTATACTGGTGCGTAAATGAGATTAATCATGAAGGATTTATGTAGCTACCACTAGTCCAAACTTCATATTTGACATTAACAGTAGACTTTCAACTTACTCAAACACAGTAAACAAACACTACAATAGATTTTGGGTAAATAAATGCCGGCACATTAAATGGATGATTCAGCTCTTTCTACCTGCTGCCCTTTGTGTGAACCTTCACGAATCCCATAGACATGACCCGTACTACACATGGGCATGTATTTTTACTTATAAAATCGAACAAGCAGAGGGATATTTGGCCGTAAAGACTTTGTTCTCCAGGCCGTAGACGAAGAAGCTGTAGTCTTTTCCATTATACGTGTAATAAGCGTGAGTCAAGGGCACCATCTCGATGGTCTGACGCTGCGGACAGAAAGAAATGGCATCAGTATCACTCACTCATTGACAACATGACATATTTTATGGATATTTCATAATATATTAACAGTAACAGTGGAGCACATCTGATAAACTGTACAATGAACACAAACAGTGAACACAATAACTGCAGGAAGTTTGTGTAAAACCAGCCATTTGGATGAATTTTGAGGAAATTATTTTTCTGTGAATATTGATCAGAGATGAGTTTTCCTGATGTTTTTAGGAACTTTTTATACAATTCTCTGTCTGTTTATCATTTATAATAGTAATACATACTTAATAGGCTTCTTTTTTGACAAATGCAGTGTTTTTGAATGCAGGACGAGGCTCTGTGAATATAACTTGTGTTCAGGTCTTCAAAGATTATGAGACACTCAACTGGGCACAGACATCGAAAAGACGCCCAGCCCTACATAGGAGCAAACAGAAGACTGAAAGAGACTGAAAGCAATGTTTGTAATGGTTTTGTGTCTCTGAAGTCTTTGTCTTTCAGGGACATTTTGAAGATAAAGCCTGTGCTCTGTAGGCCCGTTCAGTGATCCACACGTGTCCAGGTAGGAATACAAAAAGACTTCATGAACTGGAATAAATGCACTTTTTTAAAGGCAGTAGAGGGCACTGCCGTTCAGTGATGTATGAAGAGTGATGAGTGTGCATGCTTGTTTGTACCTGTTGCAGGATGCGGCTGGTGGAGCTGAAGGAATTCAGGTGTTCGTTTATCAGTTTTGCAGAAATATTGCAGATCTCCTGATCGGGGAAACCATGGAGAGGGTACACCTGGAAACAGAAAGGTGAACACAGACTTCAGTCAACAAGAGTCTACAGCGATGCCAGCAGCTCTGTGTGGCTGTACTTATCTAAAAGCTAACGTCAGCTTGCTAACATACACACCATAGCAGAGCTCTCATGCTGGTGTTTAGCAGGTATATATAGTATATATAGCTTTGGAGGGTTGGGTAATTAAACTATATTAATCAATTAAATAACAATGTAGTTTTCTTCTTAAATAGTCCTCATGCTGCAATTAAAACTATGATTATCCAGTTAATTTCATTCAGCCTGGTGAACACTCAGCTAATCAGGAGCTCAGATGGTAACAGGACAGCTGGAGTTGGTGTGGATTAACTGGATGAATGCTTCAGTTCATGTGCTGCTGATGTCTCGCATCTGATGGGGATTTCCTAATTGAAAAAATAAAAATTGTTTTTACCAGAAGATTCTCGTCGATGAAGAAAGGATCTCCTGTCACCTGCTCAAATTTCTTATCAGGAAAGTCCGGCTGGCGGTCTGGAATGAAGTCAGCTATGTTGTTCTTCCTACACACACACAGACACACACACACACACACACACACACACACACACACACACACACACACACATAAACAGTCAAAGAAACAGATGAGAAGGAATTTGGACAGAGACTGTGGGGTAATGAGTGCGTGTGACCTTTGACCTACCATGTCACAGTGAGCTGGATGAAATGCAGCAGGTTTTGGCAGCCGTGACAAACAGTGCAGGTCTTGTGGCCGTGGCCCTGACAGGAGATACACCTGGAGGAGGGAGGGAGAGATCGAAGCAACAGCTCAAATATTCTACAGCCTTTTCACATAAAACGAGAGAAAAAAGTGAAAGATTTTGAGAAAAATAATTGCAGAAAGAAGTAGAACTGCCATGGTGGGACAGGAAGCAGTCAGACACAGAAGTGGCCTTGAGGAAAGTACAGAATAAAGTCTGTGTTGTATCCTATCACCGCAACTGTATCGCTGTATATTTATCTGTGTTTTCATGATTCATTCATGGTTCCGATTCTATACATTTCTATATTTTTACCAAACCGATACTTCAGTGCCAAGTTGAAGCCTAAGTTCTGAAAACATGACAGTATTCGTTGTTCTACAGTACCATAGGTACCGGGGATTCAATTCTTCCCGATCCTGACAGGGAACCTCCTACACAGTCGACTGACAATCGCACAGAAACACAGAGACAGACGCTCTCTGGTGCAGATACAATGGATATTTTACAAGCAAGGACCAGATAAAGCAAGACTGAACGGCAGTAAACACATTAGCTTGTCCCGATGCCATTCGGAACCACATTGGCTGCAATGAGCCTCCACCACATGTGGCTCAGCTGCTGTTGTGAAAAAAGGATTGTGGGTGAAAAGAATCTAAAATTGGAGTCCTGTTACTTTATGAAACTTACTGTGGAAGAAAGTCAGAGGACATATAGAGGGAGAGAGAAATAGAGCAGATTAGCTTAAAAGAGTAATGAAGGGAAAAGCATGTTGAGCAGATAGTAGTAGCAGTTGTAGTTTGTGAGTTAATAATACAGCAATCTGTTAGAAAAGGGGCAACTGTTGTTATTTTTGTGTTCAAAATGTTTTTCATAAAAAGAGTATATGTTGAAGTACATGGGATTTATTGTTTTGTTTTTGTTTTTTACCATGGTATTTAATCTGTATTGAGAATCGGAAAAATTTCACTGATATTGGAGTACATCCATTTTTACACTGACGATACCATCTTCTATCTATGCCATCGGTTCTAAGCTCTTAGCTCTAAGTTTTGTCCTTCCTACTGGGATCTGATTATAAGTACTTAAGAATTTGGTAAGAGAGCAATCAGAGCAACGAGACGTCAGACCAACCAGTCAGAGCAATTGAAGACGTGATATAGCACTGAGCGACACATGCAATTTGGGGCAGTGCCATTGACACTGATATAATGGACAGAGCTTCTGGGTGAACTGAAGCCAAGGCAGAAGTGTCTTAAACCTGCGTTATATGTTATTGCCAGCAGGGAGCAGCTACAATAAAACACTGATACCATGCAGTCTTATGGAGAAATTAGTTGACTTCTGACTTGATTTATTAGCTCAGTAAACAGTCACCTAATGAGTTTATGGTCTCAGTCTCTAGTTTCAAGTCGTCTTTCATACAGCATGATGTTCATTTAGTAAATAATGTCCCCATTTAGAGTAAAATAGACCATAAAGCATGGTATGCTTTAGGGCTTTAGTGGCTACCTTGTGATTGACAAGTCATGTGATTGGTCTGACCAGATGCAGGATGGGTGGCCAGAGAAAATGAAAAATTATGAGCTCTGCAGATTGGTCCTGTTCCTATAGCTACTCTATTCTACCAGCTCTAACCTCACGACCCAAACTCTTTTCGTCAAGAGTTTTGGGGTCTCTCTCACCTCTTATGCCCTCTCCCGTGACAGAAAGAACAACGTGTCTTCCCAGAGGACCGCTTGTGATTCCCAGGCTTCCTTCTGAACCCTGAGCCATGGCAGCTTGAACAACGCTTCTGCAAGACGGAAGAGGACATTCAGACAGAGAATATAAAGAAAGCAGGCAAACTGGACTCACACCTCTTGAGACCCCGGCCATGACAGGAAGAGCAACGGTTGTTCCTGGAAACTCCATGACCGTGGCAGAATGTACAACGCTTCTGCAAAGTGAGATGAGGATTTGAGTTGAGTCCACCAGAAACCATTTGCCCTAAAGACTAGTAGGTTTAATGCCACTCCAGAGGAAGACAGAGTTTGCCTGTTGTGTGATCAAGGTGAAACTGAGAAAGAGGCTCACTTTTTGTTTTGCTGTCCTGTCTACGAGGACATGAGGGATTTACTTTTTAGTAATAGGTCTTCCATTTATTTCTTTTGGCTTATGAAAAACTTGAATTGTGCTTCAAGAAGGAACCCTTTCTTGTTGTGTTACATAATTTCTGAATAATAAAAATGTCCCTCATTACTTGATGGACATGTCAGTGTGTAAAGGCGTAACATACAGTAACATAAACTTCCATTGTCCTTTTAGTTCCATTTTGTATACAATACAGAACATACAGAAACGTAAAATCTGCTCCTGTAAAAGGATCTATGTAGAGAACTTTGTGGGTTAACCATGAACTTGCAGTGCTACAGTGAACTTGTAATGTGGATTGAACTGAATCATGACCTTTACCACATTCTCTTCCTTCTACTCTTGCCTTCTTTCATCTACAAACTGTAACAGGTCTTAAAATGAGACATCTTACCTGGCCTCTACCATGACAGGCAATACAGCGAGTTCTTCCAAAGCCGTTGCACTTGTGACACACCTAACACACACACACAAACATAGAAGCACACATGTTGCATGTTACTTTGATACAAAGAACATAAAATAAAATAGTATGAAACAACAATAGCAAATCAGAAAATCAAAGAATGCTTGATAGTCTAAGATAAATCCACCTTCACAAAGGATGAGTGTGGCACGCGGACCTTCTCCACCTTGTTGGTGTATCTCTGAGGCAACGTTAAGGGAATGTCCCACGGTGGAGGGCTTATACCATACTGCGGACCATCGACTGGCTGTCCTGTTTGAAGGGAAAAAAGACAACATTTAATCAGTGAAGAGTGGAACTTTTAACTGTCAGCTCTCAATGAACCATGGTGTCATTGTCAAGGCCGTTGCTAACCTATGAGTCATAGGCTATGATGCCTGCAGCTCTGTCAGGATGGTAAATGGACTGTACTTGGTGAATTAAAGAAGTGAAAACATTCATCTGTTTTTATGTATTTTATATCACGCCCTTCTGTGCCTGTGCTTGTAGTTGACCCTGTTGGAATGTACTTGTTCTGCCAGTTGGGATAACCTATAATTAATTCCACCATGCGTAGATTCATTGTAAACTTTTCAATACATGCTGAAAAAGTTCATCTTCCCACGAAATGTCAGTGTGGCAAAGTTGAATGGCAGTGCTGTCCTAGCTCTTTTCTTATTAGTGAATGTGTGAGACGGAGACACCAAACACTAAGCTTTGCTCACTGTCACTATAAATAACTCCTGTGACAACGTGTAAATTGATTGGCTGCATATGATGTCAGTTCAGCTCACGTCAATCAACATGAAAGCAGCGGTGCAGATACAAGTAGTCTGTTATGGGCTCCGGACTGCTGCGGGCCCCTATGCAACTGCATACCTTGCATATATGATACTTGTGCTTCTGGCTCCAGGAGACTTACTTCTTCATTAAGTACCTACAACGTAAATGCTGTACTCATGGCGTCCATGGTGTTGCAATAATTGTCTTGCTTCCCGATGCGCATAATGGCATACATATGTGCAGACATAAATGTGCAGGTCCTGTTTGGGGGGTTTTAAAATGTATGGTCACCCAAATGTAGCACCATCATCAGGTCACATTTTTAAGTTGTCCATTAATTTGGTTTATCACCAAAAACTTGCATAACAAATGACATTCCTATCAGCTTCAGCTGTAACTTTGTGTTCCTTTGCAAAAACATGGTAAACATTAAACCTGCTAAACATCGACAGTTAGCATTGTCATTGTGAGCATGTTAGCATGCTGATGCAAAGCACCACTGTGGCTAAGTACAGCCTCACACAGTAATTTGTTGGATCAGAGTAAAGTTTTACCATTGTAGGCTTCAAACTGCCAGCCGCTGGTTCTGGTCTCAGTGTAGGTCTCCAGTCGATACTGCATAATGAAGAGACATACCATCAGAAAACAGATCAGGCACACTTTTACATTATTACAATGGTTTCTACAGTTCTCCAGAGATGATATCATCCAAGAGAAAACTATGACCTGCTGGTGGCACTACAGGAAAAGTCAGGGGATCACTTAAGTAACTAGGATTCATCCTCTGGGGACCAAGAATGTCTGTACAAATCCATCTACTTCCAATCAGCGACCTTTGAGGAACTACAAGCAGCTACAACATGAGCTACAGGCATGGTATAACACTAGGTGTGTGTGATGACGTGCGTGAGAAGTGACTGTTAGCTCTAAAACAACAATGGCAGCTGCTGAAGAGGTTAGCGTCATGCTGCTAGAATCAGTTATATCATCTGTGCAAAAGAAATGCTCCTACCCTGTACACAGTGAGGGGTCTGAGTTCTTTGAAGGTGAGGTTCCTGGCAGGTTTGGAGCTGTACCTCCATTTCGATTCCACAAACTTGAGCAGGGCATCTCTGGCCACATCCTCCGATACTGTGGGGACCCTGGAGAAACACAGACACATGTGTAGTGTATACTTCTTTTATCCCTCATGTCTTCATTTTTTATTGTTAAGATAAAGCACAGAATCATCAGCAAAGTATTTTATAAATGTGAATTATTGATGTGTTACCTGACATCAGGCACTACAGTGTTCTTGTTGAGCTCCGGTTGGGGGTTGTAGGCAGGGGGAGGTGGGTACAATGGGTTCTCATCCTCTGGACATACACATTAACACAAAATTATAGGAGATGAAGTTTGGGAAATGTTCAAGGAAAAATAAAAAGAGAAGAAAACGAAAGACTCACCTCCTCCTTTGTGGCCCACGTATCCATGTATGTCATCCAACCAGCCAGGAGGGGGAGCTGAAGGTCCCTCCTCTGGTATGTTTGGATCACATGAACCTGAAAACATGAAGTAAGGAAGAGATAATCAAACACTCCTCGGAATAACAGATGAAGAACTGACCTTCCTCTCTTGCTGCAGGTTTTTGATAAAAACGTCTTCACACTTTGACGTTTGACTGGAGCTTTTTTATTTATGTCATGTTGTTGTGTCTGCAATGATTTAATGGCATCTAACTGAAGAATCATCCCCACCCACCGTTTATCTTGATGAACCCAATATTCACATAACAGTAGCGGATGGAAATGTGCATTAATGAACCTTCAGTTGAAATATGTGCTACATTTGGATGAAAACTTGACCATCTTTGTGTCTCTTCAATGTTAAGCTCAAACAGAGACATTTTAAATCTTTATTTAAAGCTTTGTTTTCCTTGTTTCCTTAAATATGTCTTGATGTCATAAAAGGTCATGTGATAATAATAATAATCAACTTTCTTCTCTGCAACATGCTGAGGAGGGCTGGACAGTGTTTCTGTCAGTGTGACAGGAAGGGAGGATGCATTCTTAAGGAAAGGCTGTCAGGAAACTGGCTATAGCCTAGAGTAACAGATGAGGCGTTTGGGACACAACAGGTCACACTTACATTAATAACAAATCAGGAGATATCAGTATAATAATTTACACACTACAAGTCACTCTAACATTGCTAATAGTAATGGATACACATAATGAGCTTATGGGACACCTGTCAATTATAACCTCTGTATTTGGCACGTGTATGGAGATCAACAGTGAGATTCTAGAAAATAAAAATCCCATTGATATTCTGAATAGAAGATTTTGATTATTATTATATCTTGGTGGCAAGTAACCAAGATACCAAATTGGCACAGTTGGGAAAAGTTAGGGGCAATACAGAAACAGAGTCATCTGTCTGTGAGAGGAGTTTGAATGAATAAATCATAGAAAACTCCTTTTCAGCTCACCCACGTGTGCCACAGCAGACCCCACCCCTCCCATTGTACATGCAGGCAGGGACAAGCTGCAGTAACTACACTGCAAATACCACTTCTACCCACACCCTATGTGTGTTCATCTTTGTTATTTTAAGGTTTCTACTCAGTGGAACCATGAAACATCTGTAAATAGAGCACGCCTCCAACGGCTTAACGAAGGAGCAGATCCCACGATTTCCTCCCTTCATATATGTCTTCACTTTGTAACATATCACTGCCACAGCTGCCACAGTTGTTTTAATTTTGCTCAGTCTGCCCCCCTGTATCTGTATCCAGCCACTTCTAACATTCCCCCCAGCACCATGCATTTCCATCCATCCACCAGAAGCCCTCAGACATTCCCTCTGGTCACCAGTATTTGATTCTGTTTATATCAGGGATGCACAATATGGACTTTTGTCAGCTGATACCATAGCTGATAATTACCTACAGCTGAAAATGTCACATTTTGTGTTTTAAAAATAAGTTCATAACCTGTAGTTTTTACATACTTGATGTATGATGAAAACTAATCACATCTAATGTTCATAAAAAACTTCACAAACATACTTTGGTTTTTATACAACATAAAGACTGTAATTTAATTATGCCAATAATTCATACACAACATAAATGTCCCATTATTGGCCGATAATCTATCTGCCCCAATAATTATTGTGCATCCCTAAATTATATTTTATTATATTTTAATATTTAATATTTTAATTAATATTGTATTCTAGGATATTCTGCATATTGTGTATTATAGCTCACATATATTTACAGTTCCAGTGCAATATCTATCTATCTATCTATCTATCTATCTATCTATCTATCTATCTATCTATCTATCTATCTATCTAGCTACAGTAGGTAAAAAATAACTTTACTTTAAAACATGACAAAGAAAATAAAAATCAATGCTACAAGAGTCACAAAGCCACATCACCAGGGCAGGACTAAAAAAACAACTTTATATATATATATATATATATATGTATATATATATATATATATATATATATATATGTATATATATATATAACGAAATGACCACTTAGAGCCCGCAGGGATTCATGCTGTGTCTACTAACCGAACTGCAGCTAGGCAGCAGCATCAGCAAAAACAAGCTCACAAAATACCAAAGAATATAATGTTTTTATACAACAATGTAATATTACATAAATCTACACAATAGCGCCTTGATTGAGACACTTCCGAGGCACCATGTGGCTGTTTTGGAGCGTGCGTCATGATTTTGCTCCTCTGAGTGTTTTTCATTAGCCGTGTTTTCTCCAAGCTCCCGCTGCCCGGCGGATAAAAATACAACAGCGTGCTTTGCTTACAGACGCTGCACACAATACCTCTGGCTGAGGGATAAAAATACTAGCGAGAAGGTGTTTCCCCAAAAAGATCTGGATTGAGATGGACGGAGTGTGAGAACAGCATGAGAGAGGGAGGGAGGCAGGGAGATACAGACTTATTAAGAGAGGAGGAGGGGGGAGAAAGAATGTGAGATCTGATTACTGAAGCTTTGACTGGACAATGCATCCAAAATACTCCCACAGAACACTTACGGGGCCCTTTTCTGGCTCTGTACAGCACTAAAAATCTTTTTTATGAGTAACTTCAGTTCAGAGTATCATGCACACTCACAGAGTTCAGCAGAAGCACACTTCTGTACTAAAAAGTAAATTTTTCACAATAAGGAATACAATCCCCAGCTTTCTACAGTCAGTGTCTTCAGTACTGAAGGACTACACACTCTCTCATCTTCCTTTCACTGGAAAAAAAACCTCAGATTGTTTAATGTAAATGGTCATTTGGAGAAAGTGGAAAATTTTCAGATCACCTCTTTAAGTCAGAACAAAACAGCTGCGATGGTTTTCTTACATCTGGAGAAGAAGACCTGTAGGTCAGAGCCTCTCTGCAGCTCTACAGCGCTTCATTATAATGCAGTTTGTCACATTTTACCTTCATCAAACAACTGCAGCTTCTGTGATATGAGTATTGCACATATTGCCAGATTATGATGTTGATAATATTTTGATTAACTGTGCATTCCTACATTGAACCACAACTGCATTTCTGGTCACTTCCATCCTATTCTATATATTTTATTTCATTAAATCTCATCTTAATTCATTTATTTCTTTTTATTGCTTATTGTTTTGAAATGTTAATGCTTTTCTTGGCCTCTGTTTGAAATGTACCTTGTGACTCACACAGCAAACAAACCTCTTATGACCACAACTAAGTCAACCATTTAACCCTTAACTCGTTTAATGTCACCTGACGAAGGTCCACAGCCTAAACCGCTGGGTGTGTGCAGGAATTCAACCTTTTCTTGTTGGTCTGACTTTGGTCGTATTTTCATCATTGTTTTAAGGTGTGTGTAAGTTCAAAGTAATAACTGGCTACCAGTACCAACCCTTTAGTAACCAATTAAAAGAAGAAGTGGAGATGTGACTGTCTACAGCATTTCCAAAATACACTTGATGCCAAAAGTTTGTTGCAAGAGGACAGAAAAACCCAGAAAAAACAGTCGAGATTCAAACAAAATATCTAGTTTTAACATTTTCCAGGAAAACAGATTTTCCAGGATAGTTGGTCATTTGAATCCATTTCTTGGTATTTCCATGACAGGAGGATGCGTAGGAACCCTGATATCGATCGCAGGCCTCTGAATCGAATCATAATTTGTGATATCAGTGTCCCAAGAATGGATATAATGTCGTAATGGAACTTGTGATTTGGGCCCATAGACAGCAGTGTTGTGCACTCAGGGCTCTGATGTTGGATGTTACAGCCACTGAGATAAATACTCTGTTCTGGTTTCCTTACTCAGATTGTACCCATATAGTGATTTAGTCTTTATACGAATATTGCAATATATCACCTTCCTTACAGTCTCAGGATATGACGCAGTATATTGAATCATAAACCCACGTATCGTATCTTACACAGCCCTAAAACAATATTACATCATCACAATGAATGGATTATAAATTATGAAGCAGCTGAATTCTCCCTGTAAATCTCTGATATTATCATAATATTATATAGAGCTGCACTATATGGTAAAAACATCAGATATGATTCATAAATTCAATGTTCACTGAAGGTTGGACATCCGTTTTCCTTTCCTACTGTCAGAACAAGTTTGATGTTGATATTAAGGAAACCTACTGTGTATATTAAACATTATACACTATAGGCCTATGTCTCATCGTCCTGTGTTAAAAAAGTATTCAGGTATAAGAACCAAAGAGCAAATAGAACAGGCATCAGAGAGAAGGAAATACTGAATTTATAGAAAATTAAGCCTGTAAAGTCTTTATATTTTAAAACTCAATATAAACTCAATACAAACAGATAATGAATTAAAACTCATCTCTGATCCACATTCACAGGAAATAATCGCTGGTTTTACACAAACTTCCTGCAGTTCTACAGCTTCACTTGTTCTTTACTGTTATTGTTGTGCATTTAATATAAGAAATATCCATAAAATATGTATATAGTAAATAATAGAAAAGGCTGGAAACTGATTTAAACCATTGCACCTATTAAACAGCACACAATACTGTGAGTTATCAACAATAAATAAGGTCCCACACACTCACAGTCACAGAAATAACAACTATGATAACAATATATAATATATATAATATAATATAACTATTATAAGTCTCTACACCGACCCACTGCTGTTACATAACCAGTGTAATGAACCATCAGCTGCAGTCTTATTACAGCTTTATTATATAAAGATTATTCTACATCTACAGACTCTAACAAACACACTTCTCCAAACTTCACCCCCAGCACGGAGCACGGAGCAGTCTCCAGAGGGAGGGGGGGTAAAAAACTTCTGCCCCGGTGTGAACGCCAGCGGCAGGCCGCAGCAGGCTCTCTGTTCTCGGGGTAACAGTCAGTAAAAAGCCGCTCTTTGCTCACCGAGAAAGTCCTCTGTGTTGTCCATTCCTCAGCCTGCAGCCGTCGGTCGGAGGTGAATGAAACTCCTTCAACAACAACATGCAGACACAAGACCAAGAAACCCCCCCAAACCCCCCCAGCGACAGCTAGGCACAGCTTCCGGTCCGGAGTTTAGAAATAAAAGCCCAACTGAAACATGAGTTCTTAAAGCTGGAGTAGATTGCTTTTATTAAAAAATAACTCACTATATCCTGTATATATATATGTATATATATATATATATATTTATATATATATATATATATATATATGTATATGCAACAGGAAGAAGGTTCATGCTGCTGATAAGATAATGTAATTTATGAGATGTTCCTTTATTGATCGTCCATAGAGGGAATTCAAATGTGGCACAGCAGCACAGGGGATGCAGTGATATGTAAAAATATAAAATATATATACACTATATGCAATAAAGTGGAATATGATGAGTGAAAGTATGATTCAGAGTGAATATTGTTCAAGAGAACATTAAACATTGGCTCAAAGTGTTAAAAGCATCTGCAAATGTTTAAAGAACCATACATTGTAAGATACAATATCAAATATAAAAAATGTAAAAGGTTTTTCCTGTTTGTTTTATACATATTTTCTGTATTATTTTGTAATACATGGAAATATTAATACAATTACAAAATAGCCCGTGAATATCTTTATTTATCTTATATTTAAATTTGTATAATGTTTAATGTGAAAAGTCTGTAATTGTAAATAATCATACAGTTATCTAAATAATTATTTTTTGCAGCTATTTTCTGTTTATTTAATAGATTTAACTGTTAAATTCAAGTTTTATTTTAATATATTTCTAAAGTCATGTAAAACAGGTGACAATTAATAGTATAGTAGATGCTAAGTGAATATTTTTTAGAAGGTTTTTATTTATTTACTTATTACATATTAAACACTTTATATTAATGATCTTTTCATGGTGATTTTTATTAGAGTAAAGCTCTCCTCCTCCTAGATTCTCCAGCACACTTTTACTTTGAAGGCCGCCTCTGTGGACTTCGTGGTGAGTCTGGCTTCATGCAGCTTCTGGCGGCTCCCACACAAACAGAACCGGCCGCGCCCACATGGTGACATTCAGGGGCCGTCCACACGAATCCGGATAAAGACTTTATCGTATGGCCTCGCGTCCAGAGGGAAACAGCGTTTTAGATAGATAGATAGATAGATAGATAGATAGATAGATAGATAGATAGACTTTATTAATCCCCAGAGGTAAATTGGGTCGTCATAGCAGCCAGGTACATTAAAATACAATAAAATACAATAGAATAAAATACAACAATAGAATAAAATACAACAATAGAATAAAATACTAAGATAGAAAAGATAAAAAAGATAAATAGGTAGGTAAGGTGCAAAGAGTTGTAGTTGCAAGATGGTGGTAATATTACTGAAGACATGATGGTAGTGTTATGGTTAATAAGAGTATATAATAAGAATATTAATCATATTTATAATAATGTAATAATAATATGTATATATAATATGATGACTGAACAGATATACATGTATACACAGATATTATACATTAATATTGATATAAACATGTGTCATATATTCAGACTGTGCATACATACATACTGTAATATATATACACAATATATATAATATGTACACATATATACACAAGATATGATATGATATATAGCATATGTATAATAGATACTTGACTATACAAGAAGATATACACACAATAGATAATATCTTATAAATTGTTACATAATAATAATAATATATAATAGTTATATTAATATAATAATAATATATTGTATAAATATGATATATAATATTTTTTCCGGTATTTTTTGAAAACGGGTCCCAGAGTGGGAGAATCGGGATTCTCCGGATTTCCCGGAGTCGGACGGCGAAACCCGACTTTTCCCGAAACGATGACGTATTAGCCCCGCCTCTCAACAACAACAACAACAACAACAACAATGGCGGACTACCGGCTGGTGTTCGCGCTACAGAAAGTACTCAGTCTGTTGGGGCTGCTACAGATAAACCTGCTGCTCCTGCGTTACTGCGAGGAGCAGCAGGAGAACACGGAGAGCCACATCCGCCACACGCTCCGGGATCCAGCCCGCCGAGCAACCAGAAGGGCCACCAGGAGAAGGTTCTGGACCAGACCCGGACGGAGTAGCAGCTGGTGGGACAACTTCGTGACCGGCGTGGCTGTGGATAACGAGTGGAGGGAGAACTTCCGCATGTCCAGAGCTTCTGTCGTCGCTCTGACCGAAGAGCTGCGTCCGTATATCGAAGTACATCGAACCAATATGAGGGAATCGATCCAGCCGCTGAAACGAGTCGCTATAACTCTGTACTACCTCGGCGACGAGGACGGGAGGCTGCGGACGGCAGCGGACGCGTTTGGCGTGTCCCGACAGGTGGTGTCTGTGATCGTGAGACACACCTGTAAAGCCATCGCCCTCCACCTGGGCCCCACATATGTTCAGCTCCCGCTGACGGAGCCCGGAGCGGAGGAGCTGGTCGCAGGCTTCCACCGGGCTCACGGCCTCCCGCAGTGTCTGGGAGCGGTCCACGGAACCCACATCGACATTAAGCAGCCATCCACCGACTCCACGGACTACACCGACCGCAGAGGAAGGCCTTCCCTCAATGTGCAGGCCGTCTGTGATTACCAACACAGGTTCGTGGACGTTGTCATAAAGTGGCCTGGGAGTGTGCCCGACGCGCAGGTGTTTGTTAACTCCAAGGTAAACACGTACCTGAAGACCGGTAAGATTCCTGCTCTGAAGAAACGGATTGTGGACGACGAGGAGGCGGTACCGGTGTTCCTCCTCGGAGACCCTGCCTACCCTCTGCTGCCCTACCTGATGAAGGAGTACTCAGACGGGGGCTCCACACCTCAGGAGCGGTACTTCGGACTGCGTTTGCGCAGGGCGCGCACGGTCACTGAGTGTGCTCTGGGTCGCCTGAAGGCCAGATTCCCGGCCCTGAGAAGGCCCATTCACATTAACATGGAGGACCTGCCTCATGTCATTTACGCCTGCTTTGTTCTCCACAATTTCTGTGAGGTCAGTGAAGAGGCTGTGGATGAAGACTGTGTGTCGGGAACAGTACAGGTCGACACACCGCCTCCCACAGAGTGTAACAACCACCTCACCGACTGTGAGGAGGGAGAGAGGGTGAGGAGAGTGCTCACCAAGTACCTCCACCCTTAAAAACACTGACCTCACACTGACCCACTGGGCCTTTTGTAGTATTTGATGCCTCTTTTTATATTACTCATGCCGTTTTTAAAGTATTGTGAACTGTGTGTCTTATGAAAAATAAACAAAATGACTTCAACCATGAGAAAAAGTCTTTTTTTGAATGAAAGCAAATCCCTGCTAATGTGCATATGATAGATAGATAGATATAGATAGATAGATAGATAGATAGATAGATAGATAGATAGATAGATAGATAGACTTTATTGCAGTGTCCTTTGTGTAATGCTGCTGTTTTCCCAGCTTGGGATCAATAAAGTATCTATCTGTCATCCTCCTGTCATTTTGAAAGTTGTGAACCGTGTCTCTTGTGAAAATAGACAAATTACTGCCACCGCTTTAAAGTTTTTGTCTTTAATGAGAAAATTCAACACAATTAAACAACAAAAGAAGCACAGTTCAGTTTCCCTCTGCATCATCACGCAGCAGTGCACATCTGGATGAATAAGGCTGCTGCTGTGGGGTGTGTGCATGTGTTGGTGTGTTTTCTGTCTGGCGTGCTGGTTGATGGGGGGGGTTTGGAGAACGGCCGGTGTAGTGGGGTGTGGGCATTAATGTGTGCTGTTGCTCAAGTCCACTGCTGCTGTGGGGGTAGGCAGGCTGGAGCCAGTGAGAAGCCCTGTGGTATGGAGTTTGTGTTGTTTGTGTTGATTTGCTGTATGGAGTCCGTGTTTCTTTTAGAGGACTCCTCCATCAGCTCCAACATCCTCCGCTTAATCTGAAGCTCCTCTCTCTTGGTCACCTGTGAGTTTTTGTTTCAGCCTGTCCCCTCTGTGGTTGTTCAGCCTGGCCTTCAATAAAGCACATTTGTCTCATTATTATGCAAAACAGACACACTGATTTAACTTCAGATTTTAAGTTTTATTATCAGTGGAATCAATAGGTGATCAATATGTTCACATTATAGTTTTACATTCCCTTCATGTCCAGTGGAAACCATGTAGAAACTTTATCAATATTTTTATTTAATATCTCAAAATAATGAGAAACTTTATCAATATCTTTTATTTGCCTTTGTGATAAGTCTTTAAGTCTCTTACAATGATTTACAGTCATTGTCAGTGCTTGGTTTGTCCAATCTGGGCCACCGTAGGAACATTCAACATGTAGAAGAGGTGATTATACACAAATGAAAACATATGAGTATTATATTCCAGCCAATAGATCCTCCTAAAGGTTGCACACTGGAGCTTTACGGGGCCTTTAAGGGGTTTTCTATCAGTAGAGAACAACTGATAAACTGCACACTGAACCCATGAACACAATAACAGCAGAAAGAAATGTACTACATCAAATAGAGCATGTAATCCTAACCTCAGCCCCCCCTCGCTCCCCAGAGGAAGATAGTTTGCTGAGTCTCATTCTCAGACGTCTTTACATCTTTCTCTGCTCTGATTGGTTGTAAATGCCAGTAAGATCACAAGGAGGAGCACGAGGATCCTGATTATTTCACACATTATCTGTCCCATGTATTACTGTCAGTGCATTGTGATATAAATATTTGTTATAAAAGTTACCTGCTGCAGCTTCCAAATGAACTCAACCTGAAACATCTACTGTCGTAAATCAATGCAGGAATAATATTAATCCAAAACCTCATCCAGTATATATAGCAGAACACAGAGAGGGGACATTTTGGTGGTTATTTCTACTTTATTTTAAGTTATTATCGTTATTATGTTCTTACTAATGTTTAACACTTGCTGTTGCAATGTAAACGTATGTTTCCTGTGCCAATAAAGCCCCTTTGAATTTGAATTTGACATTAAATCTTCATAAATAAAATCTTATCTAATAAGTGAGCAACTGTTTCCATCATTCCTCCGTGTTTCCTTGTTCTTCTTAGTAATGTTTTTGTTGTGCTTGTCCAGTTTCAGTCCGACCGACACCCGTTTCTCCCACTTTCTGCCCCGGTACTCGAACGCGTCGCTGCGGCAGTTGACCCGGAAGTTTACGTCATGTTGTCTTCTCCCAGCAACGGAGCCGTTAGCCGCAGGTAGCTAGCCGCTGGAAGCTAACTGTTGTTCTGAGCTCGGAGATAAATTAACGGACACAGATTCACCCTCTCATCAGCACGATGGTAGGAGGACGCTTACTTCAACACACACTCACTCTCTCCCGCTGCCACGGCTGTTCACACAGACATTAATACAGACATTAAACATGTTTAATTACCGGATAGCTCAGTAATGCTAGCCGGGCGTTGGCAGGTAGCTGTGTGCTGACTGATGCTAAGCTAACGGCTGTTTGTGTCTCTCAGGCTGAAGTAGAAGAAACTCTGAAGAGGATCCAGAGCCAGAAAGGAGTTCAGGGGATTATCATTGTCAACTCAGAGGGTAACACATACACTTTACTCTACTCTGTGTCTCTGAAGGGGTTTGAAGATAGTCTGCATTGATTCAGTTTATTTACCAGCGTTACTCACATATTAACATTATTAAACATTACTTATCACTATTAATCACATATTAATCACATATTAATCAATATACACACTATTAATCACATATTCATCACTTTACTCACATATTAACATTACTTATCATTATTAATCAATATTAATCATTATTAATCATTATTAATCACACACACACACACACACACATCACCAGCGTTAATAACAGGGCAGCTACAATTAGTTCCAATCATTTATTGATTTTACACACAAAGAAAAACCCCAATTAAAACATTAAAACACATTTTTGAGGGTTTGTATTGAACATTTTAATAAGATCTGCAGCTCTACAGTACATCCTGATAATATTATTATATATATTATTATATTATATTATAATATATAATATAATATTATTATATAAGATAATAATGATGTTTGTCTCATTGTCACAGCTCTTGTGATTAGCATAATGCACATGGCCATAATGCGATTCAGAAACATTTATATATATTATTTCTATAGACCACAGTGATCACACATAACACCAATAAATAACAATAGAAGAAACTATATATAAGATATAAGTCAATAACAAATATATATATATATATATAAGAATAATATCAAATAAAAGATTAAAAATAGTAAAACCTACTAAGAGCAGCAAAAAGACTTATTGAAATCAATGAAATTAAAATTGTTAACCTTGAGCGTTAATTCAAATAAATAACCAGGTTACAGATCAATAAAACCTCCAGTAACAGTTAATTTAATGTTGTTAGACAGAAATTCTTTGAATCCAGTACAGCAATGTATCCTCAGATTAAAACATGTCCCTATCTGTTTTATAATAAACAATAAATATAAAAAACTTTACATTTAAATAGTTCTCTTACTGCTACTAACTACAGAGTTAAACCTGCCTCTTTACATTAACTTTAAATGAACCCACTCCCCCTTCCTCCCCTTCCTCCCCTTCCTCCCCCTCAGGAATCCCCATCAAGACGACTCTGGACAACTCGAGCACGGTGCAGTACGCCGGACTCATCCACCAGCTGGTGATGAAGGCTCGCAGCACCGTACGAGACATCGACCCCCAGAACGACCTCACCTTCCTCCGCGTGCGCTCCAAGAAGAACGAGATCATGATCGCTCCAGGTGAGAGGGCAACAAACAATATAATATAATATAAATATAATATAACATATAATATATATATAGTGTCTGAGAACGTCTCCTGTTGAAGGGGCAGTTTCTGCCGTAAGCAACGAGAGCCACAAAGGCAGACGTCATTAAGTGTGTTCAGTGCCACAGTGCAGATAGAAATTGAAATTAGATTACGTTGGCGGTTGTTTTTGTCCATACACGCTCATCGGGATCAATCAAATGCTTAATTTATCTGCACATGTTTAATATTTTAGCACAGGTTTTAATTTAAGTTCAGATTTATCTCAGGTTAAATTTCATGTACGGCTACTGTGTTATATGTTAATTTAAATTTTAATGTATGTCTGTCTAATGTATGCTTGTATGCTGCTACTGGAGTCTGCAGCCCCCAACACTAGAAATAAAATGTTCATGTTTAACATATACAGGGCCAACCAAATAGGTTCTGTCATACTGATCGGACCATAATGTAACACTGGGAACGCTCTGCTCATATTCTGTCCAAACAAACACTTTAACTAGGATACAAGCACCTTCAGTCTTAAAAAAAAAAAAGTTTTATAATTTAACGGAACCGACCCGGTACACCATTAAAAAACTAAACAAAACTCTGATAGAGGAACCTGTGTTATATGGGTTTCAGTGTTTTGTGTTTTCCTTCGCAGATAAGGACTATTTCCTGATCGTCATTCAGAACCCGTCGGACTGAAGACGGAGGAACTGCCGCCCGACTCATTACTCTCTTCGTCTCTCTTTCATATTTAAACAGCCAAACATTTCTTTGTCTTTGCGAAATCAGAAGAACCAGAAGCTTTTTATGCACTCGCTGTACGGACGGGAAGTAACGACAGGATGAGCTGTACGACGGTCGATCTCTCCGCAGGCAAATTTATTTTTTCCCCATGTTTTAGCATTCCAGTTCGGTCTTCTCTCTCTGCACACGGTTTGTTCTGTCACTGCGTTTATTACACAGGTATGTTAGCACCGCTGCTAAAATACCTGAACGTTTCAAACTGTATTCAGTGCACAGTATTCGAGAGAGAGAGAGAGAGAGACAGCAACACATCTTTAACTTTGAGGATTGTTTTTTTTCCAGTTCTGTCTTGATGGAAAAGTTCAGATTTTAATTTATTTTGTTGGTAAAAGATGTTGAAGTTCAGTATTTCACTGGTGAGCAGCGAACTACACTTAAAAAAAACACTTCTCTGTTGTTTCTGATGGTTATTTTAATGAATTAAGAAATAAAAAAAAATGTCAGAATGGTTCTTTGTCCTGTACTTTGTATTGATTATGCTGGTTCTCTTTTAGAGGGAAGTTAACAAAACATCAACTTTCACTGGTTTAACACTAAAATATGTTCATGTAACAGTGAGCTACCAGAGATTTAAAGGAACCGTGTGAAGGATATAGCGCCATCCAGTGGTGAAGTTGCAGATCGCAGCCTTCAGGACAACAGTTGACCAATGTTTAGTCATGGAAGACACACAGAGAATTACAGAAATCTGACTTTAAATCGTACACGTAGGGATTTACAGTTTACAGCAGGTAAAACTGAAGACTGCTGTTCAGTTATTGGCGTCCAGGCAGCAATAATTAATATATAATTCATAGAAGAAAAGTTTCAGATTATAAATTAATACTAATGATCAATTTTATTAACATAGCAGCAAGCACAAAGGGCTTTCCAAAAGAAACAACATAAAATACAATGATGGAAGCTAAAAGTGTAACAATATTAAATTCAGAGGGTTGAAACAAAGAAAAGAAATGACAGTAGACAATAGTGGTAAAAATAGTGTTATAAAACGTAAAGATTATGTCTGTAATTTTCTCCAGTTTAAACATGGGGGGGAATAAACAATAAACAAAACAGTGGGGAATAAATACAGTATAAAGTTATTTGATATATTCCAAACACACAAAGTCTGACATTTAAGGGGACTTAAACATCTCTTACAAACATTTTATAACATCTTACCAGAAATTGTGGATCTTTGGGCTTCCCCACAGGCAGTGAATACAGAACAGTACCTTTCTCCTTCAAACATCTGGAATATTACAGACATGATGAAGACTGACAGGAGTTATTTACATTCTTATACACTTTGTTTATTGTCTGTTTTTGCTCTTTTAAACGAGCATCATTCCAATCTGTCTCATCATTCAGTCCTCATACTGAAACATTTCTATCACTTGTCTGCTAATTACAGACAGAACGTGAGTGTACGTTCACAGAGAGGATATATTAGTGTATGGAACAATCCCTATCAGATAGATTATTGATCACTGAAAATGTCCCGTAAAATAAATCTCTAGAAAAGATCATCTGATTTGTTGTTAATAAATAATAAATCTTTAAAGAGTAACTAACGTAACTCCAAACTGAAAAGAACTGTTTCACCTTCAAACTGAGTTCCTCTTCATCAGTACAGCAGGTCGAGCTTCAACCACTGGAGGTCAGCAAAACATCTGGGGCTATACAGTCACATACACATGGTTTCTTCCTCTACAGATGTCTACAGATGTTGGATTATGTGTAGTGTGAATAAATACATTTGAATATTCATGTCATGTTTTAAGCATGTAGTAGATTCACATAGGAACAGATGACAATACAAACCACAATGTTATAGATCCATAAAGAGCAGTTTTTGTAATGAGGGGATGAAAACAACAAGCAGAAACGTCTCCGAGAGAACAAGAAAGAGAAATATTAACTGAAAATGATCAACAAATCCATGAAAATCTCAATCACAAATACTCACAAGTATATAACAATATATAGAACATTGAAAATAAGACATTCAAATATGCACAGTACAGTTTATAATGGATGTGTAATGAATGATAAGTACTGTTAAAGGACTGTATTCAGTATTACACTGTAGTATTAATGTGTATGTATTGCACATCTCAAGGGCCAGTTTAATGAACAGACTTAATAATCAATACTTTCTGTAAGAGTTATAAGTATTAGGGTTCAGAGAGTATAAACACAGGTTGCTACGGAAGCTTATTCCCACCAATGTGTCATTATAATGAGAAACTTTATCATTATTCTGAGATACTGAGTCATTCTATTGAAATGCTATGTGATATATATTAAGAAAGTGTCTCATTATAATATCTGTCCTGTCCCACTGGTGGAAGTGGACTTGCATCAGTCCCCGTCAGTACATAATGACACAGCAGTAACCAGCTCATACAGGAAACAGCTGTACTGTACTCTACTTCAGTGATTAACGTTCACTGTAAACGTCACACAACTGGAGTTACAGTCATTTCATCATTAAAAACAGACGCTGAGGAAACTTTTTTCTTGTTGTTGTTTTTGTTGTTGTTGTTTTTTTTTTAATTTGGTGCGCGTCCCCTTTAAATCCCTCGGATGACGTCAGCGGCTGGGTTTAGTCGCTTTGTTTGTCCGGAGCAGTTTTTAGCTTCAGAGCGACAACAGACGGACAACGGACGGACAACGGACCGCCGACGGACAGACGCTTCACCGAGGCAGCAGCACCGACCGACCGACGGTGTCTTTAACCAGCTGTGTGCTATAATAACCGTGTAACAACGCCGACAGGAGCGATGCCGTCCGACAGACCCTTCAAACAAAGGAGGACATTCGGTGAGAAAGCCCGAAAACAAGCAGCTGTGAGCGGACGGAGCTAAGCTAAGTTAGCCGGCCTGCTAGCTCCGGACCGCAGCGGAGTGTGTGGGTTTACACGGTATTTAACGTTTACACCGTGTTATTACAGCCGTGATAGGCCCTTTAAACCGTCTGTATGTCCACGGCAGGACGAGGCAGGTCAACTGTAGAGGGTATCTCCTCGGGGGGCAGGGTTTTAATGCGGATAAAGAGTCAATAACAACAGCTTTAAATGGCAGTTAAATGTTGTTTACAGCCTCTGTCTGTGTGTGTGTGTGTGTGTGTGTGTGCTGATGTTAACATCTGGCCCACTGTCACATCTGCTTACCCTGGAGCTAGATAGCATTAGCAGCCTTTTTTTTACACCACTGGATGAGCTAATGTTAGCAGTAAACACTTGTGTCTGCTCAAAGGAAAACAACATGTGCTGACACATTATCCCCAGTACACGTGTTCTGTGATTTATGGGCTGTAATTTGATGCCAAACGACGGCCCCTATGCTGAACAGGGAGGGGCCCCCAGACTGTGTTACATAATCTGGGCAAATAGAGGGAATATGGGATCAGCAACAGTGTGACAGAGAGTGGAGGTTTGTATGAGGTTATAACCCCGGTGTGAAGTACCAGAGACAGTCTGCTTCTTCTGGTTTCTGATGGTTTCTGATGGTTTCTGCTCTCAAGTTCACGAGATCAGTGATGAGTCACCTCAGAAATACCCCCAGAAATAGAAATGCAATTGTAAAAATAGCACATTACAACAATTAATGCGAATTCAACCCATCCCTGTCTCCCTGGAGCAAGTTGCCTTTCATTTTAAATGAATTATTTCACTTTCTGCTGCAATTTCAATGCAGGAAAATACCCCCAAAAACATCTTAACAGGCAGTGCACTTTTTCTAGAGAGAAATGAATATATTTAAGGCAACAATTAGGGGTTTTTACAGCCTGAACTGTCGTCTGGAGGGTCTGATATTGTCAGTATTTTAGAGACCTTCAAGGGCTGATGTCGTATAAAGCGGAGCCGAGCTTCCTGTGGCCTCCCTGTAGTTCACACCCTGTTCACAGAGCCCAGCCGGCCTCATACTGGTTTATATATAAATGTAAACTATAGCTGTTTTATTATGTGGTTCACTGCTGTTTGCCTCACTGTGTCACACTGACACACATTACTGTGATAAGGAAACGAATGAAAGACCTTGAACCGGGGCGATGAGATGATAACTAGTTGGATTTGTTTAGTTTAATCAGTAGTTAGGTACAGAGAGAGTTCGCAGTGAACCACACATACAAACTGTGATATACTGTGTGTGTGTATTATAATATTAAATATTATATTAACCCTTTTATAGCAGCCAGTCCTCACAGTGTTATTTTTAAAGAGGCAGATAGTAAGGAAATAGGCGGGGCATTGTTTGTATCTCTAACTGCTCAGTAACATCATATTACATCTTATATCTTATACTTATATTGTATCAGCGAGCTCCGACCGTTCCCGTAGCCGGTGGAGGAATAAAACCACCCGAACAAAGGAACCATTCACACTTCACTGTTGCTCCTCGTTGCCGTCTGAGGTTTGAACCCTGCCAGTGATTTCAAAAATAACTAACAACGGATGTTCTTCAGGAATAAGGAAACAGGTTATTCACATTATAGACGTTGTTAAATTAAAAGTGAAAGAGAGGCTCCAGTTCACCGTGTTCCTCCTGCCCTCCTTTACCCGCTGACTGACAGTCACACTAACGGGTCCTGATGAGGGTCAAACTCTGACAGAGGGAAGCAGTGAACGGTCTGTGAGAGGTATTAGTTTAAGATACTGGTTAAAGTTATTTCTTTAAAAGCTTTATGTAAAGGAACTTTTATTTTCTGTTGATTCTGGCGGCCCCCTGTGGACAACAGTTTCTACTGCCTCATTTCATTGATTTCAAAGGGAATCCAACTCAATGGCAGCCATTACTAACGACTATATAGAAATATCCAATCTTCTCTCTGATGGTCTTATTAGTTTGTGCAGCTCATATAGAGACATCAGTATTAAACTGAGAGTGTTTCATCACCAGTTAAAAACTCCCTGTAGGTTGAAGTTAACTGCATTAACTTGAAAACAATGATATGAATGTGTATTTACTGTAGATATTAATATTTTCTGTATTATTTATGATTCTCTGAGCACTACCTTGATGAGCAGGAACAGCTCAATGTAGCAGTTTACTTCAAAGTGTATTTTATTTACCACTTTTATTTACAGTACAGCGACGATGCTGCTGCAATAAAAGTGACTGACGGAGCGGATGTGCACGATGATCGGCTGATGATAACAGCCTCTACGAGTGTATGATTCAACCTCTTCTCACAGTCCAGTGTTAATAAAGCAAACACAATAAATCCTGACATTTAATCTCAGTACTATCGAAATGGCAACACGAGTATCACAGTGATCATATCAGATCATGAAATAAGCACTGTGGAGTGTGTGCAGAGTGAACTTCTTACATTTACATCTTTTCTTTCTTTGTATTAGTGTGTCGTCTCCCGGGGAAGGATTATAACGAACAGCCCACTGTTAGGACTTTATTGTGGTTGTTGGGAGCATTCAGTAGGGCTGCACCTAACATACATGGTTCATCCACCAATCTTTTTGTTTTTTGGTCCAGAAGATCTCAAAAAATCAGCTCAAAGATGTTCAGTTTACTGTCATAGAGGACTCAAGAAACCAGAAAGTATTCCCATCTGAGAAGCAGAAATCAGAGAATCGTTGGCTGACTGATCCCCAGGCAGACTACTGAACTTGCTTCCTCTGTCTCTACATGTCGGTTATATTTGCATACACTGGATTTAAGAGTACAAATAGTGACATGATTTTACTAATTCTCTCAAAGAGAGGCCTAAATTATGCATCCAGGCTTGTTTGTTCTCTGTCCCCAAATAGAGCTCCACTGTGTTTTTAATGATGCTTTTCTCTGGGTATGAATACATTTTGAACTGTTGGTATCAGCGAGGGAGTCACAGCTTTGTTTCTGCTACAGATGAGCTGGAACTGTTGTTTACGTTCAGCCTGTTGTTTACGGATTGTGTCTCTTGTCGTCCACAGCTGACCGGTGCAAAGAGGTCCAGCAGATCCGCGATCAGCACCCCAACAAGATCCCTGTAAGCTGCTGCTCAAATCTGATTTCACCTCGCTGCACTTTAATGCACCACAGCGCTGTCTACAGTAGAGAGCCACACAACAGTCTTTGTCTCCAGTGTCTCTAATGATAGATCAGTGCATCAGTTACTCTTCCTCCTCGCCTCTTTCCTCTTTGAATTGCAATCTCAGCAAGAAAATAAGCACATTTCCCAAAATGTCTGTTCTGATAGCATCCAGATTCCTCTTACTGCAGCCATTTTGTACACAGTACAAATACCTACATGTGAAGTCATTGAAACAGTTTTACACACAGTATCAGATAATACCACACATGTGTCTGAGCCCTGCAGTGGATCAGTCACCGTACCGCAGACTGACTGACTCTCTGTGTGTTTGTGGCTGCTGCAGGTGATCATTGAGAGATACAAGGGAGAGAAACAGCTGCCCGTTCTGGACAAGACCAAGTTCCTGGTACCTGACCACGTCAACATGAGTGAGCTGGTGAAGATCATCAGGTAAACACATACACACACACACACACACTGCAGGTTATTATCGGTTGCTGAACTGGATCCCAGTGCAGGTCACTGAGGTGTGTGTTTGGTATGTGTGTATATATTTGGAGCTGTAGAACATTGAAGGATGTGTTTGGGGTTTGGCAGCTTGCTGAGGCTGCAGTCAGCACAGCGTCCAAACCAGAGGGCTGAAAACAGATTGAGCTGGAGATTAACAGGGCAGTAAATTAAGATTTTACTGTCCTACAGTGCAGAAACACCACAGTATATCTGTGTGGGTCGACAGCGTCTTTAATACGCTTCGATTCTGATGAGAAATAGAAAGTCAGTTTGTCTTTGATTCGTCCCATCTCACTGTGTTCACAACTGGTCTGCATGTTGGAGCTCAGGGGGGTTGGGGCAGAGGAGCACTGACCCAAAGATGAAGGCTGGGGGTGGAAAGAGAGGCAGGAAAGAGGAGACCGAGAGGAGGTGAAACATGAGAAAAGTGATCTAAAAACGAGAGGCACAACGGAGAATTGTGGGAGATTGTGATTCTGACGTCCTCAGGGTTGCATCCAGTCAACAACTACAGCAGTTCAGACACGCTTCAAAACTAAATGATGAGGATTCACCACATTAATAAGCTCCTTCTGGGTTAAAGTGTAACTGCACCCAGAAACAAATCCTCTGATTAGACGGCGTTAACTCTCTTTTATATAGAAATGTGACGTAAAGTCGTCACAAACGGTCAAAGGTCAAGGTTCATGGTGATTTAAAACAACAGAGGGCGTGTTGAGACATTTTCAACCCACAAAATTCAGAATTTCATAAATTAGATGAGAATGTGTTTGATCCCAGTGCGGTCCTATCATTCAGTTTACAGGTTAAATATGGAGTCTTTAATACAGCCAGACATTAATCATACAGCTATTAATCATACAGTAATGCTGCTTCCACCGCAGCCTTTAATGGCCCATCACATCAGCTCACCAATCACTTCCTCACTCTGTCTCCTCTGAGAGACGTTCAGGGGATTGAAACATCCTCAGTAATGCTGGACGCTGGAGCGATGAAGCATAAGAACGTACCCGCAGGTCTTTGCTGGAGATTGCATCCTCAAAAGAGAAATAGAGAAAGAATAAAACAAGTGATGGGTGGATGTTAAGGATGAAAGGTTTAACAAGTGTTTCCTCTCTCTCTCTCATTGTCCCTTCCCCCCGTCTCCCCCCCCTCAGACGCCGGCTGCAGCTGAACCCCACGCAGGCCTTCTTCCTGCTGGTCAACCAGCACAGCATGGTGTCCGTGTCCACTCCCATCTCCGAGATCTACGAGCAGGAGAGAGACGAGGACGGCTTCCTCTACATGGTCTACGCCTCGCAGGAGACCTTCGGCTGCTAGGGAGGGGGACGGGGGAGGGAGGGAGGGAGAGCGGGGACATCTTCTAGGTGCTGGGAGGACGGGGAGAAGGTAGAGGGAGGGGGACGCTCAAGGGGGGTGTCAGAAACCGACCAGAATCCACCAAACTCCGCGATCCTCCCCACTTTGTTGCATCGTAGGCCCAACGTAGCAGCGCCCCCTGTCCCTGTCTCTTATTATTGGTCAGTACGTACAACACTAGCTACAAAAGCCAGAGGACATCCTGTGTGTCTTTCCCGCCCTCAGAGTTCAGAATCCAACCCGTGAGATCTCTGAGTGCTCCTCGTTTTACTTTCTCTATCGTTCTTTCGGTTCCACACAGAATGGGTTCTCTTATTTTGAAAACCGGTGACCTTTCGGAGTTTGGAATCTGCGAGTAAAATTTTATTTTCATCCTTAAAACTACACTAAACTTGAAACCGGGCACTCACTTGCAAAGCCAGTCAGGATGTAATCTGAAGCAGGTGAACACACAGCACAGTGCGGTCGCGAACCACCTGCCGCCGGATATATTCTCGCCATCGGAGCGGCAGCAGGACGAGCGAGGAGACAGATTCATAGTGATTGTCGTTTTACCTTTTTTAACTCACGTTTTAGTTTTTTAATTACTGTCTTCTGTTTGAGATATTAGCTGTAGTTTGTGTATTTTTAGGTAGTTCTCAGTTTGTTTTAATCATACATTTACCGTCAGCCTGAAGCTCAACTTCGCCAACTCGCCACTGGCTACCGAGTAGCTGACAATCAGGCTAACCGTAACGCTCGGAAAGTTCACTACATTTTACATGTGCAATATTTATCCCCTCACACAGCCCAAGCAGCACAGTGGGTGACACTACACTACTCCCCCCCCCCACCCCCTCGTACAGCTACTGTAACGTATTAACTGCTCAGTCACAGAAGGGAAGTTAGCATTAGGGCCACTAGCCACATGCTGCTACATCCCATCAGGCATGTTAACAGACTGAACTCTACGTCTGTTCACCCCGTTAAGCACAACACGCCTGCAGTGTCACTACTCACCCGTCTTCCTGCACAAAAAGCTCACCCTCTTTAACCACACACACACACACACACACACACACACACACACACTGAACGTCAGTCAGGTGAAGCAGATGTTCTCCAGTAGATTTTAGACGGAGGGAACGAGGGATGCCCTCTGCTCATACAGTAAACGCTTGCTGGCTTTAAAAGAAGGAAAGAGCAGTTTGTTGCTAACTGTCGCTAGCTTTAAACTGTTGGTCAGGATTGACAGCTCAGGAGGGGACATCGTCTCTACAGGGGCAAACAGGAGGGGGTCTGGGGCAGTTATATGGGGATGATTACAGGATGTTTTTGTGGGATTTAGTTTATTTGTCCAAGTTCTCTCTGGCAGACTCACTGCGCAGTGAAACGCCAATAAAACCCCCCCATTCTGTGTCCTGATGTGTCCTGATGTGTCCTGATGTGTCCTGATGCAGCCTGGCAGGGGAGGGAGCCAGGAAGTAATCAGATCCCAGAGCAGCCTTTCAGCCCGAGCTGAGGTGAAATAAGACCCCCCCCCACCCTCCTTTAATATCATCAGCCCACTGCGAGGGCGACGTCTCCTCCTGGCCTCGTGTCAGACAGCCTGTAAGATCGCCGTGTGTGTCATGGTAGCGTAGAGTCGAGCATTAGACAAAAGAAAATGTATTTAATGTCTGAGATGAATGAGCTTCTTTTGCACATAAATTAATACAAATATAAAAGAGTTGGCATAGAGTTTTTTTTAGGAATTACTGTAACTATATAACAATTATCTCCTCTTTTTGTATCCTCCTCTAGAGCACTGCTGCTCTCTGTCTGTCCGTCCATCTGTCTTTGTTTAATAACTTTATAGTGATGCACTACAGACCTTGCATGTTTTGACTTTTTTTTTTATAAATGTATATTGATTTTACGCTATATAGATATAATTGTATTGTTTAATTAAGAAAGTCTTTTTAGATGTTTTTCCCAAAACCAAAAACTGAAAATATAAGTGTATGTGTATGTTTGAAACAAACAAAAACAAGATGTGTGCGTATAAACGATCATATAATCGAGCTGTATTACAAAGCGTGTTTTTCTTTAGGCTTTCTGACATTGTCACTGTTGGAGGGGTGTACATAGACGCATTGCTACCTTATTCAAAGCATTTGCCAATAAATAAAAAAAGTTGCCTTTAATCGGGTCTTTTTTCTGTTCTGTGCTGATGTTTACTTCCTGTTGGTATTTACCAGCAGACACTGCAGACCACCAGCAGGCGTGTGGGGAAACGTGATATTGACTGTAAGATATAAACAGTATAAACTGAAGTATCTATACATTCATATTAAAATACTCCATTACAAGTAAAAGTGCTGCAATCAAAACCCTGTCTGAGTAAAAGTACTGAAGTATTATGAGCTCAATGATTCATTACAGATTATATTACTAGCTGCTCCAGGTGGAGCCAGTTCAAACTGCATATACAGTCCAGTGGTTTCCAACCTAGGGTTCAGGCCCTTCCAGAGGGACACCAGGTAAATGTAAAAAAAAACTAATTTCAGATACACAAACTGTTTAATGCTTTCAGGTTTTATAAAATATTGGATATTTGTTTACGTCTTTAGGCGTGGAGCATTTAAATTTGACCATGTGAGAAGTTTAGAGGTGACTCTTAATCTGGATTAACAGTGCGTTGTATTTTATTATCTTATATCAGGATTCCCACTCGTCCTGGAACATCTGGAAAACCTGGAAATTGAATAAAATGACCAAAAATACTGGAATTGATTTACTATATTTTGGCCCCTCACTCACCAACTGTTAATTGTATGTGCAACAAACACTTTTTATAACAATTTCTATTTCTAATTCTAATCTTCTAAAATGAAGGGTCTGTAAAATAAATTCTACTCGATTTGGACAGTTATCCAATCACTGACTGTTGTCCTGTTACATAAAATCTTATTCTGAGAACTAACTGTCTGTCTGACTGTAGAGAACAAAAGAAGACTGGAGACTCATCCAGTCTTTAATTGTGCAAACAGTTTCCATTAGAGGCAAACATGTGGACCAGAGCAGGTGTACAATAAAATTGGATAATTGAATAAGATTTTAAATCTATTATCCAACAGAATTAAAATCCTGTTAAACCAATCCTCCAGTGACCACCGTACAGCAGCTCCAGGTCCACATGTTGTTTGTCCTGTCTGTTTCTGATCAACGTTAAATCATCTGTGAATCAATCAGTGTGCTGCAGTCCTGAATAATACATAGAGTAAATACAGCGGTCAGTGAAATAAAAAGTACAATATAGTGTAAAGAAGCACAATGTTAACACTAAAAAGCTTCATAACTGTACTTACAGTTCTTGTTTTAAACTTTGCAGCACTGTCCCCAAACATTATTCAGTTTTATAAGAGAGACTTCCTGCGATGAACTCTGAACCTTAATCCCAAAAGAACACAAACAGATAAAAAGAGGGTGATTTATTTTATTTTACAAGACAACATTCTTTAAGAAACAACCAGTTCAGAGGCAGAGCTCGGTTAGTTAGACAGTTTGAATCATCACATTCATCATCTCTGCTTCAATCTGTAGCAACGTTACGTACAACAGCCCCGACACTGAACTCCACCTGTGTGTTTATCAGACTGCCTGTTGTTCACCGTCACTCTTAAACCTGCAGTACTTTCAATTTCATCCTTCTAACACCAGATTGTAGGGCGATACATTTGGCAGTTTGGTGTGTGTGTGTGTGTGTGTGTGTGTGTGTGTGTGTGTATTCAGAGTTGACGAACTATTAACAGAGGTGATTCTGTCGAGGCAACAGTTTCCCATCAGGATTACAACCACAACCTTTTTCCTATTGTGACTTTTTTCAACGATACAGGCACAAAAATAAATTTGACTTTTAATTTCAATGAGCGCAGCACTGGTCACTTTAAGTTTCCCCGAACTGCGAGAAAACATCTAAATCTACCTGTTTGGTTAAAAAAATAATTCAAATTAGTGCCAGAAATGCTGAAATATTGGATTCCTCAACTCAGAGAGCTTCTCTCTCTCCATTTCTGCACCAAAAGACCTCCAGATCCCCACAACTGTGAGCTCTCTGACACTAAATCACCTCCACCAGTCCCAGCCAACATTAGAGGGGGGGTGGCGGGTGTACAGCTGAACCTGGTTCACCCGGAGCTGATTTTAAGAATGACTGAGGTAACCAGGAGAGGTTTCAGGGAACCAAACACCAAAAAAAAAAAAAAAGTAGAAAATGAGCCTGTAAGATGTCTGCAGGTGGGAGTGCTGACTCCTGAGTGAAAGTGGACTGTCCTGTGTGGAAGGAGGTGTTTTTAAGTTGAGAAATGAGGTCCAGCAGCTTGTTGGCATCCTGTGTGAGACCAGGCGACCCGCAGCAGAAGCTCTTCGGCGGCGGGAAACCGCTTACGCCATGCTGATGGGAAACAGAGAGGAGGCGGTTGAAATCACAGGACAACATTTAATGGCTTCCTGCTCCTGAAACGCTGCGATGCTTTTAGATTAAACAGGATATCAGGATGAAAGTGGGAGCACTTCTTCAAAATGAATCAATTCTGGCTGCTGGGAACCGACAGAGACAGAAATACACAGATACTGACATCTTCTGTCTCTCCAATCTCTGCACGTTTGTGTTTTAGCTGCGTCATTGTGCACTGAGTGACAGCCAGCAGCTGTAAACTTTACAGAGACTCAAAATGACCACAAACCACAAAACGGAGAGGAAAGATGGTTAACGGAGGAGCTATGAACACTCAAGGAAACCTAACCAGGAGAAGCCGACTGCAACAACGACTCCCATGATCCCTCATCATCTCACACACACACACACACACACACACACACACACACACACACACACACACACACACACTCTTCAGACAACTACTGTCCAGTCATCGGTCCTCTGAGGGGACGCAGATTGTGGGAACAGAACAAGCTGAGTCATGATTTAAAAACAGTGTGAAATAACACTAATGAGAGATCTAATAAATAAAAACTAGAATGTGAGGGTTGAGTAGTTATACAATGAGCAGATGGAAGCCTGTGTGTGTGTGTGTGTGTGTGTGTGTGTGTGTGTGTGTGTGTGTGTGTGTGCAGAGACACCTTTCTGAGGCTGTGAGAAAGAAGAACAGCATCACACATGGTAATTATATACAGTGTGTGTGTGTGATCAACAAGTATTAATGAGTCAGTCTGTCGCAGCGTTGTGAAGGTTGAGTGTTACGATCAGTTCTGTGGGGATGGGAGTAATAAATGAAGGTTGTGGGTCAAACAGGATCTGTTGTTGTTATGGATTCATTGGCAGAGTTCAGCCTGTGTGACAGGAAGCAGGTTTAACACTGTTAAGGACCTATTTCACGTCCACAGTGGCGGAAAGAAGTCGATTCCATTTGGTAGTTG